ATTCCAAAAATGTTTAAAATCAAGTAGATCTATAAATATATGAAAATCTTGAAAATGGACGATCTAGATAATGTGTTGCAAGATGCACTATTTTCGGGACTCCAAAACCTTTTTTTTTCATATTCATGCATCTTGATGTCGAGATGATCGATTAGAGGGTTTTTTCAACATTAAAATAACATTTCGATAGATTTTTGAGGTGCATCTGTGATTCTACATTTTAAGGTTGCAACCTTCTATAAACTTTTCCCATATAAATATATATATATATTTGAAGCTATTAACTTTCGTATTAAGTAAGAGAGAAAATATACTGCTTCTACTAATAATGTTATATTTTCTTATAAATCACATTAACTACAATAAGCCTTCAAGATAAAATAAAAGAAATAGAACTTCAAACTCTGAATCAAGTTTACCCATGTTGTAAACGGGACATCTAAAGTCAATTAATTGAAACAATCTCAAAGTAGCCATGATATCTATGTTGATTGTTCTACTAAATACCACTTTCACACCCTATATGCCTCAAATGACTAACTTAAAAGGATGTCATTAAAATATCAACTGCATGTATTCCAAGGGATTATGAAAACACAGTGATGATTCAGTGTCATAGTACTACCAAATAAATCACAAAAAGATATTTTGGGATTCACTTCTTTCAAACATCAAGTAAAAGGAAAAACTATGTAGATTACAAGGAGAAAGCACCTGGTTTATATTTCCTGGGTATGGAGAAAATCCTGTTTCGTCATTCACATCTCCATCAGCATGTCCAGTAGCACGAAGTAAAGGATCAAGTTGATTGTACTCCACATTAATCACCATTGATCTCCCTAAAATTATAAAGCATGAAGTATTACATCGAGAGAATTGCGAAGTAACATAAATTTATAGATGTTCCAAGTGATCTAACTTAAGGAGAGCAGATGAAAGGTGAATTATTACATTGCTTAAAATATCTGAGTGGCTGCTATTAGTTAGAAAGGTCAGTTAAAGGAAAAAAACATAAATCTCAAATAAAAAAGAGTAAGGAAATTCATATAAGGATTAATTAAAAGCAAAACCCACATTAGTTTCTGTTTTTATTAATGTTATAAAATCTACAGTAAAGAAATTATTGTACTGATTGAAAAGAAAACCTATAGAAATCACATGAGATGTTTGTGTATCACATTTATGACAAGGAACACAATTCAGAGCATTAGGCATAAGTAGCATGTAGATACAACAAAAGTCTCAGTAGTTTAGATGGAAAAGATACAAGAAGCACATCGTCCTCAATACGAGAGAAAGGGAATGCTCCCAAAGGTTGACCAAGTATAAACTATGTGCAAACAGGACAAAAATGATACAAGAAAATAAGCAAATTGCAAAAGAATAAATGGAAACAGAGCACTACCCTCATGACTGTCTAACTAGGACCAATATTTTTGGGTAATTGACCACAGAGTATTTGTTAATACAGCATCAAACAAAGTTATTCTTATTGTTGCATATATGCATATAGTTGTATTCATCTGCCAAAAGTCCTCTTAGTCATAAATTCATAGCAATACATAGGAGAGACTTTAAATTAATTCATATCAAGGAAGAATTTTTCCTAAGTAATTGGAGGATAGCTCCTGGTTAACTATCCAGGTGGTTCTTTCTATGGGTTGAACCAATCTTTGAGAGATCAGTTTGACAAGTTCAGAAATGTAGTCAGCTCTATAAGGTTAAAAAATAGATATGCAGACATATTTATTCGAAGTCATCCCAAAAGAACTACACTCCATATATAGGATATGTAAATGACAGTGCCTATTAATTATGACATGCACCAAGCTAGGAGTTGAATATCTTTTCTAAAGAAAATTGTTTACATCATAGACTTTGGAAAGACAAAAAATTTTTCTGGGATAGGGTTGCAAGATTAAAATAAGGACATTCATTTTGGAAAGAGAACATAAAATGGATATATTCAAAGTCAACTGGTAATACAAAAGTTTGTGGATACACCTACTGACTCCAATTAACATCTGACTGATTTTGGGTATCTCAGTATAGCCGTAAGAAATAATGACATACAAGCACCAATTTGAGGGTGAGTGTTGATATACTCTTCCAAGGGTAAAATAAAAAATAATGTACGTACACACATACACACACACACAAAAAAAGAAGAAGAAGAAGAAAATAAAAGAAAAGAAAAGATGAACGTGCGCACATAATATACAAAATACATCCTCTAAGAAATGTTAACACATCATATGATAATATTTCGTTTGTATATAATAAAGTTAAGGACGCGGTTAGCATACGGGCCACGGACTCACATGTAGAAATGGGGGCCCATTAATAATTTCTTTTTGAAATAGAATTTGATCCTAATTTTCTTGAACCATTGATTTTACTTTATCTTTGGAGGACTCTTACTTGAGGGATAATTGTTTAGTGGACGGTGTAGCTCTCCAGCCCGCATAGTAATAGGTGTGGGCTTGGCCTCACCAAACAATTTTCTTAAAGTTAATCTTCTATATAAATTGCTTGACAATATGCAGTATACAGTACATGAAAGTATATACATTTATCTTCTATTTAAGGAAGACAATATCCAGGTACTTGCTGGGTGCAATGAACCCTCATCTTGCCAAGACAAATGCCTCCTACTTCAATCTGCCTTCACTTTAACTAAATTTTACATGCCAAACAAATCTAAGACCATAGATCAACTCAAAGTGAAAACCATCTTCAGTAACTAGAATAGAAGTCAAATATGAATTACCATCTTTATGAGTAAGCTTGGTAATTCCTCCAATTGCTTCTTTCGCTTTGCGAAGCACAGCAAGTGAATTTACATGATAGCCTTTAATGGAACTAACTCCCAATGAAGCTGGGATTGCCTGAAAAACAATCAAGAACATAGCACAGATATTATTAGAGATTTGGCTTGAAGCAAATGTATTTTTTATACGCTCACTTGAAAGGTAACTACACAACATGCGCAAATTGAACCTTAAAGAGTAACCCATTTGTATCTTGGAAGAACAAAACCCATTTTACACCTGCACTATGCCTGAGACACAATTAAACAAAGTCACATTCCCAAGATAAATCAATGTCCAATACAAAAAAGCATCTGTCACAATTTGCATCTTGAAAATCCAGTGGCTGGAATTAATGTTGTAAGTCAGAAAACTTACTTCAAAATATACAATTTAAATTAAAACTTAGGCAATTTAAGTAGTAATAATATCATAGCATAGCAGAAGCCTCTGATTATAAACATAAGAAGCAAATGATACTGATTAAAAAGAGCACACAAAGCAAGTTAATAACGAAGCCCTACCATGAGGTCAGCACACCACTAGAATAAAGTAGTGCATGCACATCACCATGGCCATGTGGCTTTGTCTGCCCAAGAACAAAGTACGTAAAAAAATAAAAATGCGTACAAATACAAATCAAGATCACAATCTTCTCAGAACATTATTCGCGTATCATACCTGGATTTTATATTTATCAGAAGGGTCTAAGGCAAGTCTAGCATCATTATCTCCTAAGCATGCTACCTTTTCCTGAAACAAGATTCAAAACTAACACCAGTAAATCTAAATGAATATTTAGATCGCATGATAAAATGACTGCTGAATTAACAAAAATTCAAGTTAATACCTGCTTAAGAAGTTTCACTTGAGTTTGCTGCATCCCAAAATAAGCATTTGATTCTAAAAGCTTCAAAGTTTGTGCATGTGTGTCATCTGAGGTCATAATGGCTAAGGGAATCTGAGATTGGCATTTGCCTACACATTAATAAATAACATTATTGGCAACACCTGAAGTAAATCTGTGAATGACATTTTTTATTAACAGGTAGCTAAGTAAATAAGTCTTCTAATGGAGGACATGTTTAGACAATAAGTTTCATCAGCAATCAAGTTTCATGTAAAATGCAAGATCATTTATGACATGCACCATCTTCTTCTTCTTCTTTTTTTTGATATGTATGTGACACAAGTAATCAATGAAGCTATCACGACGATGACAGTTGCATTTCAAATCGAAGTGTTTGCAGAGTGATGAATAAAAGACTAAAAATGAAAGTTATAAACAACAGGATAAGCATTTTTTTCCTTTATGCCAGAAATGACAACAGTTCAAAAATATCAAGTAATAATAAAGAAGTGTTGCATAAAGTGGACTCGCACCTGGTCCAGCACCATAGGTTCATCAGAATTAAATAGGAATCTATAGTAGGTTAAGAGTACTCTAGACATACCTTCTGCCATCCTAGAGCTGGCATTTTGCAAAGCCAATATTGCTTCTATATAATGTTGTAAGAAACAGGTCCCAGTTGTTGTTTCTGAAGGAAGAGCTAACTGTAATACATAAAATAAACTAAAATTAATCTTCCTTGATATCTGCATTAAAAGAATTGGACCTACAGTAACAACTCCAAGAGTGACCACTATTAGTATGAGCGGAAAAAAGAATTCATAAGAATGCCTTGAACAAAAAAGAGAAAGATACAGCGTACCACCCAGAAAACATTTGACCAATATGGATTAAGAGTAACAAATCAAGATCTTAAAATGTGCAGACGTTGAAAAATTTGGTCTAGCTAAATGAAAATGGACAAGGCATACCTTAATTCCCTTGTAACCAAGTCGCTCGCCAAGTCCTCCTGCGACTAGAACAAATGCTGTATTCCTTGCTTCTTTAATACCCGCCTCCTCAAATTTGATGAAAGTTTCATTCCCATATGTCAGAACCTCCCCTGATGGTACCTGCGAAGTAAATGGTCACAAATGAATCTTATGTCACCTTATAGACAATATCACTATTCAATACTTCTAATCCTTCATCCAGATTGGGCACCCAATAATGTTGTCAAGATATTCGTATGTGAATGTGGATTACTCTAGAAATATTTGAACTCTTTGTAATAATGAAACAAACCAAGACCTCCATGTAAAAATGATCAAGGGACGAATATGTTTGCATTGGTGGCTGTTGTATTGGTTACTGAGCAGCCACCAAAATCATATGACAATTACAACAGTCGACAATTTCAGAAAATTGTATAAATCAAAATATTACACATCGATTGTGAAAGAAAGAGCTAGTTAATTATGAAATAAAACATATAAATCAAGATATGACCTAATGGCAGCTCACGACATAGAGATGTGAGACGAAAGGAAAACGAATCAATTTTACTTACTGAAGGAGTAAAGCCATAATATGGATTTTTCCCAGCTTTCGAATCTGCTAGCAGTTTTCTAGCATTCCGGATGTAGGAGATCAAGCCTCCTGGATAGCTAGAATCAAGTTTCTCTACCTGCAGAAAATAGTTACTTTTAGAACAGAGCACTAGGTCAAAAAAAATATTTGAGACACTAGCATAGCAGAAGGAAACAATATCAGCATTTTATTTTGACGTAGAGCATCTGCCACCAGTTGATTAGTTCAAACAACGACAATAATCATACATAAGAAAATATAAAATACCAAAAAACTGAGAAAAGGCTACCAATCATGAAATCCACTCAGAAAGTAACCAGATCACGGTGAAAATGCTTCTATCAATGATAGAATCATAAAGAAAATAAGAAAGCCCCAGTCATAAAATGATGATAGATTGTCCAAAGAGGAACTAGATATTGGGGTCAATAATTTACTTTAACAGCCACATTATATATATATATATATATATATAGTAGGAGTGGATTCTGTCACG